TGACAGCAACAAATATTCCCCCAATTGATGGAGGGAAAACAGCACCTGCTGTCCCTGGTTTGATGTTCTCCCAGCATTTCCACCGCATCCTCTCCTCATCCGCCTCACAATCTGGGCGAAAAGTGCATAGTTGGTGTACATGAGTGGGGAAGTAGGATCAGATGACTCGACTGTACTGGGCTTGTCCTGGCTTTACGATGAACTTGTGATTCTTGGAGAGAGGGTTGCTGGTCGCTACAGTATTGTCCCACAATTGACAGTTCTTGGACTCTTGGATGTCCTTGGGTACATCTCCAATGCTGTAAGGCTTCTTTACATCCATCGTTCCACCTACCCAACGTCAGCTTCCTTCCCCTCCATATCGACGCACTAAGGCCCCAGGCCATAGCGAGCAAAAAATATGGTCGACCTCCCCCCCCAAAAAAAAACGCGACAGCCTGAGCCTGAGCGGCGAAGGCTCTGCTCCAATGTGGGGGGGTCGGCGGCACCCGGGCGCTAGCCCATTCTATAGTATAAGAACCATCTAGCGCTATTCCTTGATGATATTGGCCTTCTTGAGGAGGAACCATCCAAATACCTGTAAAAATAGTTTAATATCGTGAGCCTATACCCTACGAATTTTTTTCATCGAATTCGATGCAGAATTGCAATATAGTGGCGCCTGGCTTTCTAATTCCATAGATAAAGAAGTTTTCGAAATCTTGAGGCAATTGCACCCTGTTATCACAAACGTATGCCTTATCCAAGAGTTCAAAGATGGTGTCGAAGGCGGTCTCCTTATCGGCATTCTTTAAATCGAAATCCTCCACCACCTTCCAAGCTGCTTGTAGATTGCCAATCAAAATGAGGCAATATTCTCCAATTCGTTTCTGGAATTTCATCTTCAAATAAAAGATATTAATACGTTTTCTCCATTCAACATATAATTGGGATTAGCCATTGACCTAGGGAATGAATCACAAATTATTCCTCAAGCTATTTATATCCAGGCTTATAGAAGCCTAGCGGTGGACATAGTGTCCTAGGTATAAGGGTCTATCGATCCGATGGAGTAATTTGTTGTGGCTTGTGGTAGGATATAATGTTGTTGCTGTGGTTGTGTGTATTAAGAGGTTGTAGTGGAAAAATACCTGGAAATGACCCGATTAAATCAAAATTCGCTACCATGCAAATGCTACGGTAACAAAAATACGGACGCACGAGGTTCCGACTATATTCGGAAATCGTTCGCGAAACCAACCCTTTTCGCAACCAATGCTCACGCGTTACGGCCCACCCTCGCTTCAAGCGAACGGCGATTCTAAGGTTCGGACGGCCCTAACATACTAACTTAATTGCATAAAGTGCAATTCACATATAACATAAAATATATCAAAAATTAATTATATAATTTTTTATATTTTGGTTATAATTATATAATCAATTATTTTTCAATTAGCAAAATTAAACCCACTAATAAATTCCATAAAAATCTTTATTACCTTCAATCCTTAAATTCATCGGCATTTCTTTTATCCTATAATTTCATATTTCAATTTCAATATGTAATATACATATATATTGTAATTTTGAAAATTTTTGAAAATATTAAAGAATTTTCATCTCTCAATCACTTGTGGCCCCGAAGAAGGTGGCGAAAGCTAAGCAAAGAAACAACGTTGGGGCTCTTTAGGCAGCAAAAACCTGGCCGGGAATCGCAACATGCCATAACCAAGGGGAAAGAAGAGTGCCAACAACGCCCCCCCAATACGACCCCAACACAGCCAACACATAGCAACACGCAACCACCCCAGCAACCGCAGCAGCAGCAGCAACAGCCACAACAACAATAGCTGTAACCAGCAGCGGCAGCGGCAGCAAGCAGAAGCTATCAAACAGCAGCAGAAGCAGCTGCTTTAGCAAGCAAGCAGCAGCACCAACTATCAAGCAGCAGCAGCAGTAGCAGCAGCAGCATCAGCAGCAGCTACCAAGCAGCAGCAGCATCAGCAGCAGCCACATCAGCAGCAGCCACCAAGCAGCAGCAGCATCAGCACCAGCTACCAAGCAGTCGCAGCACTACCAAGCAGCAGCAGCAGCAGCAGCTACCAAGCAGCAGCAGCAGCAAGGAAAGAGTGACTTTCCTTAGAGTCTTTCGTGCCCCAACATTTGGTCTCGAACAATAGTACATATAGGTGCTGCCTGAGTAATTGTAGAAGGGCGACGTGGAAAGACAGATATATCTGATATATCTGATTTTTCCACGAATACATGCTGACGATGCAGCCAGCAGCGGCGTGCGTGATTGACATCTAAGGGTTGCGTGCGAACATGTGTCAGCGACCGAAGACTCCGTCGCAACGCTTGTGCGTGCTCCCTGTCGCTCGAACATGGAACGCGGACTACCATGAGTGAAGCAAACAGCCCGTTCAAACATCTTACTGGGTTCTGTCATTCATGTGTGTAGTAAGTATCAGCTTTTGATCTGCGTGGATGGCGGATAGTGCATTCTGATTTGTACTCTTGGGGATTGTGGGGTGGGTACATGCCTATACAAGCTTCTTAAGGATATAATGAAATTGGCACCGTTTCACGACTCAGAGGGAATGCAACTACTCTCGATTCTAACGAATAGGCTTTCTTCAGCACCAACAGCAGCCAACAGCAGCAAAACGGAACAGACAACAAGCAGCAGGCAGCCAGCATCCAGCAGCAGCAAGCATGCAAGCAGCAGCAACCAGCAAGCAGCCAAGAGCATCCAGCAGCACCAAGCATGCAAGCAGCAAGCAGCCAAGAGCCAGGCGCAGATGAGATGCCAGCAGCAGCAGCAGCAGCGACCAAGCAGGCAGCAGCAGCAGGTACTGAGGAGGAGAAGGGTGGAGTTGAACCCCGCGAGGGGGGGGGTATAGTCCTGATATATCAGGTAATAGCACTCAGGTCCTGGGCTCCCACCCTCCTTGCCAAAGCAAAACAGACTCCAGCTAGCTACAGCTAGCTTTCGTGATTAAATGTCTATATCCGTTTTGGTTTTGCCGTTGCTGTGTGCGGCTGTTGCGCCGTTGCTGCCTTGTCTCCCCGTAGGATTGCCATTTTAGTTTGCCGCTGCTGCTGCTGCCTTATCTACCCATTTGTTTCCTTATATGTGTTTCCACTTGTTTACCTATACAATCACGGGGGTTGGTTTCTGCCTGTGTGATCGCCGTTTTCGTTTTTGCTGCTGTGCCGCCATATCCCCCCACCTATTCCCCAAATATCTGAAAGCTATAGGGGCTCCTACTTCTCAACGATTAGGCACCTGTGTTCCGCTTTGGTTGACCTTGTTCCCTTATATCTCCCCGTTTGTCTCCTTACTTGTCTGCCTATCTCCTTGCTTGTTTCTGCACTTATTTGTCTGCGTAATCGGCGGTTTGTCTGTCGCTATCTCCTTACATGTCTCCCCACTTGTCTGCCTGTCTGTTTGGTATTTTATCTGCTGCTGCCTTGTCTCCCTACTTGTTCCCCCATTTGTTTTGTTTGATCGGCGTATTGCTGCTACCTTATCTACTAATTTGTTTCCCCGCTGCTCCAGCTTCATTTGACAACAATTGATTTTTGTTTGCAATTCTATATATTTTTGATTAGCCGAAAACAATCATCCCTCAGTATTCGCTCGCTACCTTAGGATACTCCTCTAAATTTTACATTTGGGTGGTTTATAAACGGTTTGCTACCTTAGGTGGCCCCCTTGATCCTCCAATTTTTGCCTTCGGATAACGCACAAAAAGTCTACTACCTTAGAATGGCCCCTTCCGACCGTTAGCGGAATGCTTCGTTGGAATCTTACACCACCCAATGTTGAACCTGGATTAATAAAGTATCCCAGAATAATGACATTTTTTCCTGCACTGATCAATAAAGGCCACCAGAATAGTGTTTTTTTGGTGATTGTTTTATTGTTATATTTTTTTTTGAGATTTGATGTTTTTGAAGGTTTTTGATTGCAGACTTCCTTTCAATTAGTATTGCCAGAGATAGCCAAGCAATGATTCCTTTCATTTTAGTATTGCCAGAGTAGCTCCAGAGGTAGCTAGCTAAGGATTTCTTATGTATTTATCACTTGATTGGTTTTCTAGCATATTTTTCTGGAGTCTCAATTGTTGAGGGGGAGGGCGGGGGGGAGGGGGGGATTGATTAATCAAGATCCAACATCAAAGTCCAAGAGCAAAATTCATAACCATATTTGGAACGATTAGGATTCAAAATGCCCTGATTCAGTGGTACTGAAAGCCTCCTCTAGATTTTACCCTTGGATGGCTTACACATGGGTTGCTATATTGGCATGGCCCTGCCTCCGCTAAATATTGCCACCAGGTGGCTCACAAAAGGTCGGCCACCTTGGAATGGTCCCTTCCTCCTCTACATTTTGCCCTCGGGCGGCTCACACATTGGGCTACTACATTGGAAATGGCTCCTGCCTCCTCTAAATTTTGCCACCAGGTGGCTCACAAAGGCCTGCTACCTTGCAATAGCCCCTGGCTCTCACCTGCTTTAATGCGTCTTGTAAGCATTACATGTAAGCAGTGCTGTGCTTCAATGTCCTTTCCCACCAACACCCAAAACATGACAAACACATTCGCAAAGCGTATTGAAACCTATCTGTCTGATATGTGTATGAGTTGAGTACATATTGAAATATGAGCGTGTGCAAGCAGCGCAGTAGTGCACCACATGGCAAACGCAACGGAACAAAAAGCAACAGAAGCAACAAAAGCAGAAAAGCAACAACGCAACAAAAAAAACAAACGGGCCGAGTTGAACACAAAAAACAAAACCCAAGGTAAACGGCAAACACAAAAAGCAACAAAGAAACAAAAGGCAGCAAAACAAAAAACAGCAAAAGCAAAAGCAAGTATGAAAAAAACGAAAACACATATATAATATACATGTCCCAAGAAACACACCTCCATATTCAATTGTTTTTTGTTTTTTAAAACATGATTTTCATATTTCAAAACAACGTATATGTATTCATACTATTTATATTTTTGGATGTTCCTATGATTATTCTGCTAGCAGGTCCACATGCATAACTTTGTGCATGTTTGCAGCCCAGGCCAAAACGAAAAACAAAGAACAATCTGCATCAACCAGCGCTGTCCCCAATCTGCGTGATATCAGAATCATCCTTATGCTCAAACAACTGCGTGGAACACTTATTTCAGCCTTGCCCAGCATCACTACCCAAGTTCATGATTTATGATGCGCATGGCCTGTTGTTGTTGGACGCTGGGCTGAAGTGCACGTTGAAGCACTTTGATGGATGCTTCGGCCAAGTGTCAGCGGCCGATGTTGTCATTTCAGTTGAGTTGTGGAAGCCAACATTGCGTCCAAGGCCTTTCCATTTTCCAAGAAGACTCGGTTAAGTCTGTGCCGCGAATGACTGGCTATTGGCATAAAGTTCCGCAAACCTAGCTAGCTCCATTGCATTGTAGTGCGTAACAAGTGGCCCATATGCTACAGCACGGCACATGCCAAAAGCTTAAATGAGATGAAACCAGGCGAGGCAAGGTGAGGCTGAGACTTGGTGAGATGAGGGTCGGTTGATGCACAAAAGTGGAAAGGGTGAAGCTAGAGAAAGCAACGGAAGTGACATGAGATGTGCAAAAGAGGGCTGGACGACATGGTGGAAACCATTATATAGGTTGTCTTGGATTGAACTTGCTGGGATTGAAGACTGGGTGTGATTGCTGCACCATTGGCCAAAGTCAAGTCTGTGATTCGTTGTGGCCAAATGCATTTTGCTTCTTTGGCATGCTTTAGGATGCTTTCGGTGCAGAATGCCATTTGGAAATATATCAAGTCCTCTGTTCTGCACACTGCCATATAATTGTACATAAGCGCATTTCTCGGCCACTGGGTCCATACCTTTTGGAGCACAAGGCATCAACGCCGAAAATCAGCTAAGCTGGTCACGTCTGCAATCTGTGTAGCATCGTCGGACCCATCCTCCTTACGAAGACACGAATGACCCGAACAGCTTGTGCTGATGCTTGCCCCCTCTTCTTCTGACCTGCGTCAGTCTCAACCACCCTGCCTGGTCACAAAGGTCAAGCAACTTCTTCTGTGATCTACGATGTTCTGTAGTCGTATTTTTTCTCTTGTCCTCCATAGATAACAGAATATGGCTGGAGCGGCTAAGAAGTTTGATGAAACAGAATCAACTTTGTGGGGTAGCTGCTGAGGTCCTTGGACTTTGTGGACTTCTTTGCTTTCTGATCTTTAAGATCCTTGCGCTGTTCTGGCGGTTGCCTTTGCTCTTTCTTGCTCCACTTCTTCTTCTTCTTCTTCTTGGCCTTGCCCTCTTTCCGAGCTTTGCCTTATGCTTTCTGCTTTGACTTGGGAACTTGGAGGGCAAATAGGCAGTTCTATTCTGCAGCCAATGTTTGTGTGGGACCTAAGGGAATTGGCATCCCACACGTCAAATAAGGATTGGGCTGTGGTGCTCTCCTGCCACCTCACACAAGAACTGTTAACTAGTTTGCTGCAACGCATTCAGCTTGGAATGCATTTGCCGAATCTGAGCAGCGCGTGCAAATATACAGTAGTTGCTGTTGATTGCAACACCTAACCTCAGAATCTTCTTCATTAGGCCGTGTGCTCGCCTTCCTCGCCTGCCAGCAGCAAGCCATCTGGCTTGATCAGTCATCTTGAAACCATGAACTGTCATGAGCTGTCTATCGTTTTGCAAGTGGCCCAAAGTCCTTCTTCGGATTCTGTGAGCCCGGCTGCCTCCACGAAACATGTGGCATAATGCAAAACACAAAGGCTGGCAGGCCATTGCTGTCTCCAAAGATGCAGGATGCAAGGTTAAGGCAGGATTGATCCCCGTGTGAGTTAGCCAGAGGCCTACAATCAAAAGCTGGTAGAAACCGAGTCTCTACAAGATGCCACGGACACGGGCATTTGGAGACAGGGACACGCTCTGCAAAATGGTAAGGTTCTGGAAGGGGATATTTTATATAGATAGAGAAAAAGAGAGAATGACTTCTATACAGAAACACAAACAAAGTCCATGATACATTCTGCAGAATGCAAATTGGCAAATAAAAACATGACGACCCATTTTGTAGAGTGTGTCATTTGTGGAGCCAACTACACTCAACACAATGAAACTAACAAGGTTTTGGAAAGGGAAACGCCAGAAACGCCACATACCACCACTACATGACTGGTAATCTAAAATGACTGGTACGAGCTAAAGACCTATTACATTTTGTGTGAAAAGTGCTTCCTCGGAAAGTTATCTAAAATGGGTCTGGGAGCCATGGCTTCAAGAAAGGCATGAAACAAATGCAAACAAATAGCTAAAAGAGGACAAAGGCACAGATCAACGTATGATGCTCTTTTCTTCTCGATTTTTCCCTTTGGTTTCGTCCAGGCTCAACAAAAATCAGCAATCGTTAAGCATGAAAAACCTCAAGAACAAAGCAAAATAAGACATGAAACAAACACATATGATGCCGCGCCGCTATTGTAGCCGTTTTGGTTCTTTTCAAAAGGTCTGCCATTTTGGATTGCAAATCTTGAAGATGGAGGCGAGTCATCTTTTGGGAGGGGGGGCAGGTTCAAAAATGCTTCTGGCCAGTCCAATTGTGGCACTATCATCGCTCGGTGGACTCCGCTGTTGGCAATATTCCTTTTCGATAAAATTCAACATACTGTTGAACAGTTTTCTCATTTGATGAAGCTGATTCAGGAAGTTTGCGGCCTCTATCAGGAGATTGCTTCTTTGATTGTTTGTCACATGTTTTTTGCTTTTGGAGACAGCCTTGACATGATGTGACAGGACTGGTACCCAAACTGCGACATATTTGTGAAGAGCCGAGAACAAAGTTCAGCAAAACACACGGAGTGTGGACCTTGGACGTTGTCGGCCGGTTGCTGATTATTTTGGTAATTGTAATTTTTGTTGACACGTTATGGTCATGTAGATTGTTGTTTTCTATAAACTGGGCCAACAATTGAGAACAATGCTGAAAGTCATTTTGTCTCATTCATATTGTTCTAATAATACACAGGTGGAAATTTAGAAATTTAGAGTCACTGCGTCCAGCATATCATATTCTATGTCCGACTGCTTGGAACTGATCTGTGAAAATGCTGTCATCGGGACGGATCTACCAAATTTCACATACAAAATATCATGACTCACATGCTTCGATAAATCCTGCTCGATATATCGGGCTCACAAAGAAGCTGCTTCCTTTGTCACTTAAACAAAACGTTTTACTGTAAAAATAATACATGTGGGGACATAACCGTGCAACAACAAGTTTCGTTTGAGAAATTATGAGAAACGGTTTAGTTTGTTTGATTCGCAAAGTTTCACAGCTTACAAGTCGGCAATGAGCTGCACTAAGTAAGAGACATTGAAATTCATTGTTCGGGATCCCCGCTGCTACCGGAAAGTGAGGTCAGCACACCCCATTTAATTAGTACCAAAATTGGTGATCAAACGCTACTTTAACAAACCAAAGGTTGTTCATCTGGTTTTCAAGTCATTTATATAGTAGTACATGTAACATTTGTTTTAAAACCCCATGTTCGTCAAAGTAATCTAGTGCTCGTGCTGGAAGTCGAGTCATGAAACATTCATTAAAGCTAAAACAAAACCAAACAAACTAGAATGACTAGATCAAACTCTTTTGACAATTTTTTAAATCATGTGTTTGCAAGCATCTGTGGATGCCTTCCTGGGGCTGGATTCCTGACGCAAACAATATTTTTACAAGACAAACTGGACATCCAAGAAACATACTGCTGCATTTGAAGAAAGAAACTTCCTGCCTTAAAGTTTCCCTGCTATTTTTGTTATTTTCACGTTGAATGAAACTGAATTGTTTAATCGCTTCCATGCATGGATGGATGAGCGCCACGGAGAAGGGTGCCTGAAAAGCGGCTACGCGGCTACAATTTATACACATGTTTTGTCCTTTTATTGGACAAGAAGGGTACAAGATGGCCTGGGTCCCCGGGTCCCCTCTGAAGGACAACTTGGCGCCCGAAATCTACTACACCGGTCCGCAGAAGTCAAAGCAATTTCAGAAACCATGCCAGTTCCCCATGAGACGCCGCGCATTCAGGAAGTCAAACACGTCAATGCAAAAAGATGTAAATCACCATCAGGACGCAGCGATAAAACTATGTTTGTTTCTATCGTTTAATCTTAATGGAACGCATCAGAAAACTGTATTTCAGCATGTGGACGCACATCCAACAATGATCAGAAAACGAAGGAAATTGTATGTTTCTTGACTGAGTTCACCATGGGACGCCGTATGATCCACTCCACCAAAGTGACGGTTCCCCAAACCCAAAGCACTGATACTAATCCATGTGCATGCTCCAGTGTGGCTTCGTGATGGTTGCGGTTTGGCCATTGGCTAACTTGAGGATGTGTCTTGAATCCCTACATAACCACAGCAACCACCTCTGTCGAGGATTTCTGGCAGCAGCCTGATTCAGGATTCCTCGCCGCAACCTCACCAGAAACTGGATTATCTAAAGCAGGCTGCGGCAAGGAATCCTGAATCAGCTGCTGCTGCTGCTGCTGCTGTGGTAAAATAGGGATCCAAGACACATGCTCAAGCAAGCAAATGGTCAAACCACGGCCATCAAATGGATTTTGCCTTATTCCCTTTCCTATGCAGCTGCCTTCGATGGCTGAGCCATGTACTGCAAAGACCTGTGTTTGCCATATAGGTCTGCAACCATTGGAGAGCAGGAAACAAAGGGGTGGCTTGGACGAGGTGCCGGACGAGGTACGAAAGTACATCCGCCACAGCTCCGCCATGACATGTCTCCACTCTTTTAAAGCAGCCAAGCAGCAGCAAAAGACAAGCAGCAGCAGCCAAGCAGCAGCAGCAGCAGCAGCAGACAAGAAGCAGCAGACAAGCAGCAGCAGACAGACAAGCAGCAGCAGACAAGAAGCAGCAGACAAGCAGCAGCAGCAGCAGCAGCAGCAGCAGACAAGCAGCAGCAAGGCAACAGACAAGCAGCAGCAGCAGCAACAGACAAGGAGCAGCAGCAGCAACAGACAAGCAGCAGCAGCAGCAACAGATAAGCAGCAGCAGCAGCAGAAACAGATAAGCAGCAGCAGCAGCAGCAGCAGCAACAGACAAGCAGCAACAGACAAGCAGCAGCAGCAGCAGCAGCAGACAAGCCAAGCAGCAGCAGACAAGCAGCAGCAGACAAGCAGCAGCAGAAAAGCAGCAGCAGCAAAAGCAGCAGCAGCAAAAGCAGCAGCAGCAGCAGCAGCAGAAGCAGACAAGCAGCAAACAAGCAGCAGCAGACAAGCAGCAGCAGCAACAGACAAGCAGCAGCAACAGACAAGCAGCAGCAAGCAGCAGCAGCAGACAAGCAGCAGCAGCAGACAAGCCAAGCAGCAGCAGACAAGCCAAGCAGCAGCAGACAAGCAGCAGCAGACAAGCAGCAGCAGCAGCAGCAGCAACACACAAGCAGCAGCAGCAGCAGCAGCAGCAGACAAGCAGCAGCAGACAAGCAGCAGCAGACAAGCAGCAGCAGCAACAGACAAGCAGCAGCAGCAGCAGCAGACAAGCAGCAGCAGCAGCAGCAGCAGCAGACAAGCAGCAGCAGCAACAGACAAGCAGCAGCAGCAGACAAGCAGCAGCAGCAGCAGACAAGCAGCAGCAGCAGACAAGCAGCAGCAGCAGCAGCAGCCACAGACAAGCAGCAGCAGACAAGCAGCAAACAAGCAGCAGCCAGGAGGCAGCAGCAGCAGCAGACAAGCAGCAGACAAGCAGCAAACAAGCAGCAAACAAGCAGCAGCAGCAGCAGACAAGCAGCAGCAGACAAGCAGCAGCAGACAAGCAGCAGCAGCAGCCAGGCAGCAACAGCAGCAGCGCACAAACCCAGGCTCCAAAGCACACACAGGTACCACTTCCTCTACTTGAAGTAAAAACATCAACAGCGCTCGCTTTGTGACAACCAGTTTGCAACCTAGTGGCGGCTTTATTGAATTTCTGGTGTGCACGATGCGCATGGAAAAAACATCTGCTGAGAAAAAGTCTATCTGCTAAACACCAGCAGGACACAATATTGCATCGACTTCCAAAAATCCTTCCCCAAGCTGGGACGCACAATTTATAGAAACGCATCGACTTTCACATCTTGGAGTAGGACGTAAGAAAACTTACGTCCTATATAAAGTAGTTTTGTTGACTTTTGAGGAAAGCGAGTTATGCAGGGATGGGGTCTTGCATAACCAATATCCCGAGCATCCAGTTGTCACACCACCAGTGTACGCTGGCATTCCATCCCTGTTGCTACCAAAAGTGAGGTCAGCACACCCCATTATGCAAAATATATATAGGTGCTCTAAAAAGACTTTCACAAACCAAAGGTCTTTCAAGTCATTGTTTTTTTAAAATGCTCAGTTCTCGTCAATCTAATCTAAATGGGTAGAGAATGCTAGCCGAAGCTAGCCGTGCGATCCTTTGATTCTTGCACCTCGGCGCTTGTTTGCTTGGGTAGAGAAATGGGAAAAAAAGGCAATGAACACTCCAGATCAGTGCGATAGATTCTTTCTTCTTCATCGTGTTGCTTTACCAAATACGGAGTCCATGGTGTGGACATTACAGCAAAACCATACCTCATCAAATCAACCAAAGATACTACGATGCAACCAAAGATATAACGATGGTAAAAATATCTAGTACGTGCGGATGAGAGGTCAGAGCAAATGGATTTGTGTTTCGGCCCTCCCACGG